CTGTGCCATAACACTCTGAGGCTTGGACAGTCCTGGAGCATGATGGAGCAACATGATGGCATTGATTCCAGGTCCTTCCTTTCTCCATGGCACTGCTTATGCTTCCATTCTAAAACATTCTAAATTGGGAAAATGAGCTCTTGTCTCAGAACTGTTGTCTTATGCATCTGGGAAGAGCTGAAGTGGTTGTTTTAATCCTGGCCATTTTACCCCTGTGTCACCATGACACAGGGCAGGTGCTGCAGGTGACACCAGGAGGAGCCTGGGGTAGTCTGAGCTCATCAGTGGGCGATGGGTGTTCACAGGAAAGATGCCTCAAGCTCCAGGACAGATCCAGCTGCTCAGTGACTGATTAATGTCTTTTTTGGTGTTTTCCTCCAACTCTTTAGCAAATGTCAACAGTGTTTCTGGGACGCAGGTCGAGGACCAAGAGTGATCTGAGTATGAAGATGTACGAGGAGGAGATACAGGTATGTGGGCCTGAGCTGGAGCTGCCACCCAGTCTGTGGTGAGAACATTCCTTGGAATAACAACCCATCCTTTCAAGCACTGGGCACTGCTTTCCTCTGAGACCAGGGGTTTGTTAAACCACAGAGCACAGCAGAGCTCCTCAGTGGTGCAGGTGTGCCAGGTCAGTCACAGTAACCACACTGGAGGTGTGCCCAGGCACTTCTGCTTTGCTGAGCTGCCCTGGTGTGTCTGCTGGGGCTGTGAGCACAGTTTGGTGCTGCCTTTGGCTGCTGAGCACAGAGCTCTTGAACCTCTGGAATGTGTCTGTGTTTGAGCTTAGGCGTGTCTGTGTGACACAGAAATCAAGGCTTGTCCCAGGCAGGGCTGCCTGGTTTGCAGGCTGAGCAAGATGGGAGACAAGTAAATCAGCAGATTCCTTGGATTTTTAGCACCTTCCTGCCAGTGCCATCCGTGGTCAGGAGCTTTCTGCCATGGGCTTGGTCACTGTCCTACCAAAGGTAGTTGAAGGTCATGGGCTAATGTAATGATTAGTGCAGAAAGAATTAATCTTGTAACCATTTTAATATGTTCTTTGTCCCCAGAGCAGACAGATTGAGGATGAGTGTTGAGTCCCCCTAAGGAAAATGTACATTATTTACCATGGGGCTGGGTCATCTGCAGAGAAACTCCCTGCCCGTTCTGCTTGGTCTGTGACTGAGGGATGTGACATCCTGGGACACCCTGGGTGCTGCCCAGCCAGGAGCAGTTCTGCAAGTCCCAGACATCATGGGAACAGCTGTACTCAAGGCCTGGGTGTTCAGGAGGGACATCCTGAGGGAGGGGAGTTTCCTTGGGCTGTGGGTGGCAGGGTCTCAGTGCATCCAGCACAGCCGTGCTGCAGTTAGCTGGGCTGTTCCAGGAGCTTAGGCTGTGTCCAGGGCTTTGGAAAGAGCCCTCTGAAAATGTGCCCTCACATGGCAGTGACAGAAGGCTCTGCCCTTTTGGGGTGTGTGGGGCACAGCCTGATCCCTGCCTCTTTACTCCCCTGCTGCAGGAATGGTACGAGGAGCACTCCAGGAAAGAGGAATCTCAGACAGCCCTGCAGGAGCCTGCATCTGCTGCCAGCAGCTCTCTGAAGCCCCTGAGCCTCCGACAGCGCTCCCAGACTGTCATTTAGGCCTAGCTAATGCGAGCCACCTTCTATGCAATAACCTAGAGTATTCCTCCCCAGCCTGTATTTTGGGAGGGTGTATATAGATCTGTCAGTGTACCAGTGTAGGGATCAAACCTCGCCCCCAGCAGTGGTTGCTGAGAAGCCAGAGGCCCAGGGGGCTCTGGGGAAGGCTGCTGCACACAGGCTGAGTGTGATGCTCAGCATGTCTGGGCAGAGCAGAGCCTGCCCCTCTGAGCCCCTTTCCCAGGCTCCAGCTCCTGCTGCTTGTCTTACCACTAACAGACCTTGGGGAAAGGGATGTGTAATCCATTAACAGCAGGGAATTCGCTGAAGTCACCTGCTTAACAGTAAAACTTTTGGAAGATCCCTGTTGCTCAAAGGGTACCATGAACCTAGGGACAAAGATCAGGGAGTGAGTTTTTGTTTCTTCTCCACCTTCCTTAGGCAAAGAAAGGGGAGGTGTTGTAAAATCTCAGCACTTTTGGAAGGGCAGGCTGCCCTCGCCCTCCTTTTTAGCACTCCTAGATGCAGTCCCTGTAGTAGCTCCAGCTCTGATTACTGAATTTTGCTGTCCCTGAGCAGTTCTGAGGCAGAACTGAGGGCCAGCACCTCATCATGTTATGACCTTAGGTGGGACAGGGCTTTGGAGACTCTGTCTCTGCTATATCTGCATCACTGCTGGTCATCCTGCCATGGCACTGCCTGGGCTTGGGTCACCCCTGCAAACCCCAAAGCTCCTGTCTCTGTTCAGGGAGGGAGATTCTGCAGGGTGACGTGGCCTCTGCCACTTGGCCACCTGCTCTGTAAAACCTCTCTGGCTGGTCCTTAGCTCAGATAAATGACTGGGAAGAAGAGTGGAAGGTTTTGCAGCTCCAAGTCTGGCTTTTTCTGCCTGGCTCTGGGCTAAGGAGAGCTCCTAGGCATCACAGTCCTGCTGGTCAGTCCTCACTTTGGCAAGTCCCAGCACGGAGTGGGGCTCCTCCCTTGCAGGAATGTTCTCAGGCTGGAAAATGCCAGCTCAGTCAGATCTTGGGAAGATCCACTGAAGAGCTCTGCTGTTCCCCTGGATTTTGGATGCAGGAGGAATGTGGAAGACAAGGATTCTTCTCACCTCTCTGCTTGACTGCACCTGAGAGTTGGGGCATGAGAAAAGGGATCCCTTCCCAGCTCTGCCCTGTTTGTGGGATTGTGTCATCCATTGTCATAACTTGTCTCTCCAAGTCCCTCCTTTCCCTGTCAGGGCTGGAAGTCCTGGCAGCTGGGAGCTTCCCTCACCCTTCACTGTGTGATCTGTCCTCGGGTTCAGACTAAGAGTGGAGCTTCCTGGGGAGGTTTCCCCCTTCCTCCAGGTGCACCGGGCAGTGGGAGATCTGTGTCCCCATCCCCTTTGTCCCACATACCTATCTTCTCCTTGGTGGCCTCACCGCGTGGCACAAGGACAGCAGGAGAGGGCTGATCCTACCCAGGCAGCTCAGGAGCATTTCCTGGGTGGGTGAGACTTTCAGGAAGAGGCAAGACAGAGCTGCTTCTGGAAATCTCTCCCTCCATGGCACGGTGGGAGCACTTGGAAGGAATGGGAGAGCAGCACACACGCACCAGTGGCTGCTCCCAACCCTTGCCAAATTCCCTGGGTGCCTCACAGCAACTCTTTGTTTCCTTTCTGGATGCTTGCAGGTATGAAACTACTTCTGAGCTGACCCGTGAAGGACCTTAAAGGGCTGTTTTCCAAACCATGAATTCAACCACAAATTAACGAGCAGTGCAGTTGTTGCTCTTGCAGTTGCTCTGCGTGGAGTTGCAGCCCAGGAGGTTTATCCAGATTAGTCCTGGGGCTGCAGGAGATGGGGTTTATTGTGCTTTAAGTTGTGGGCAGCATGAACGAACATTATGAAGGTTAGTGGGGGAAAAAATGTGGCTGTGTTTAATCTCCACATTCCCCTACAGCTGATTCTCCTGGCAGGGATGTCAGTGACTTTTTTATTTTTGGGGAGGTGTTTTCTGGGTGTGAAAGGAGCTATGGCTTTAGGCTGTGTTGAGGAAGGCACTGACCACTGATCATGCAATAAAGGGCTCCCTGGAGGGCTGGGGGTCAGGGTGCAGCCTCCAAGGTGTTGATCCTCCCCCACATACCCGCTGTATTCATTATTTTTGTAAAACCAAGGAGGGTGGCAGGAGTTTGCTTCTTCCATATGACTTTGGAAGGAAACAAAGTTTGAGTACGGGGCATCCCCTTCTATTTATCCTCCTCTCCCTCCCCCGACACACAGACTGACGATGGAGACAATCATTTTGTAGGGAGCACGGGAGGAAGCACTGCAGGATTTTGTATGCTGGCGTTTTGTTTATAAAAAAAACCCGATTTTATGGACGTGTGTGTCAGATGTTCTCTAGATTTTTTTCAGGCGCACTAATAAAGAGCATCCTCGGCTTCGTAAAGGAGCAGCTTCTTTTCCTCCGTCCCGTGTTATTCCAGAGGTGGGGTTTGGCCAAGCTGGAGCATTTCCAGTGTTTGAAGAGGAGCCTGCCTGCCCTCTCTGGTGGCAAGTGCTTGTGTTGGGAATATTTTGTGTGTGTGCCCTGCTGAGCTGCTCCACATTCCTGTTCCAGGACATTACAAAGCCTTCCCTTCCGCCTTCCCCCTTTCTCTAAACATCAAGTTAAGGCTTTCAAAGCTAGGTTTTTTTAAAGTTGCCCCGGTGCAGTGGTGAGGCCAGAAGGGGTGTTTGACCCTGCCCCTGTGTGCTGGGACGGTGGCCAGGGTTTGATTGCTTTAGCCCTGCTTGTGGCAGGAAGTGGGCGTTGTGTCCTGATCATTCCGGCAGCTCGAGCAAGGTCCGGGCAGAGCCAATGGCTGCAGGCACAAGGGAATGTTCTTTTTGTTCCTTTTTGTGAGAACTGCTGGTGTCTGTTAGAAAAAGGAGAAATGGCCCAGGCCCAGGAGGAAAGAAGGAGGAACCAGGACTGACAGTTGTGGTGTTTGCACAACTCCCATGGGGCAGGGATGTGGGTGTCCCTCTGGAGTGATAATTTGCTTTCCAGCCTGTGTCCTGCAGACCCTCGAGCTGGGAGCAGAGCCCCCAGCCCACCCATTCCCCTCTCCTGGCCCTGTGGGGCCTGCAGGATTCCCTGTCCCCAGGGACTGAGCCGTGCTGAGCCCGTGTTGTGGTCATTCCCAGTGTGACAGCACGTTACTCTGCTTGGGACATCAGGCTGGAACCCACTTCCCTACTCCCTGGGAAAAACCCCACTGGGATCCCAGGGTCCTGCCCTGGCTGTTCCCTCTCCCCTCCAAAGGCTCTGTGCTGAGTAAGGGCTGTGTCACACCAGCACAGAGCAGGAGGAGTGGCCCTTGCAGCAGGCAAAAGTCAAGGTTGGGTTTATGGTATTTTTTTGTGTTGTTTTTTTTTTATTGCAGTTTCTTTACAGTGCCTAAATCTAGTCCTGCCAGAGGTCAACACTGTGTGTGGAAACCTCCAAGTCCTTTCCTACAGCTCTGCCCACCCCAGGAGGAGGAGAAAAGTAGGATCTGAAACTCAGGTTGAAAAACATTACTAAAAAAAGCAGGGGAAACCAGCCTCCCTTGGTTTGGTGTTTGTTTTTCCCTCAGGCTTTGCTTGCACTGAACCCAGTGCGTCCCTGGAGCACTGTGTCCCCTTAACCCTGTCTGGCTGTGCCCTGTCTGCTGTTCCAGCCCACAGTGCCAACAGGGACAGTCCTTCCCAAGGACAGACGTGTGCCTGGGCCTTGGCAGAGTCACCCTGTGCAGCACAACTGCCCCAGCTCTGTCCCTGAGCAGCACAGGGAGCTGAGGAAGCAAAACCTCTCCTGCTGTGCCCCTGAGCTGAGATTTCCATGTTGCTGCTGCCCAGAGTTCCTTAAATTAGATTAAAGAGAGTGAGGAGAAGTTGTGGGCACTGGCAGCTCCTTCCCCAAAGGGCAGCAGGGGCTGGGCTGGCACCTCTGGCAGCACGGTGAGGTCGAGGTGCCCTTGTCCCCCTGCCAGGGACACGGAGGGGACGGTGAGACCCCGATGTGTGGGGAGGCAGAGCCAGACCCAGGGCTGGATCTGCTGGAGCTGCTCAGGGGGTGGAGAAATGGATCACCCTGAACTCGGTGAGCAGGGCCACGCACAGGAACAGCAGGTAGTAGGAGAGCAGGCAGACCCCATAGGCCCTTCCCAGCTGAAAGCACTGTGCTGGCACCGTCACGAAGGAGAACACCAGGCTCAGCCCCAGCGCCCCGGCCAGCACCCACACCAGGGGACTGTCAGGCTCCAGCTGTGGGGACATGACAGTGATGCGGGGTGACACTGGGGTCCTGCCAGCCTGGGCTGTGTCCCCGTGTCACCACAGCCTTACCTTCACCAGCGGCTGGCTGCTGGTCATCTGCAGCAGGCAGCCCAGGCCCACGCCAACCAGGATGTCTGGAGCACGTTCAGGATGGACACACAGCACAGGAGAGCTCGAGGGAGTTACAGCACTGAGCACAGCCCTCTGCCCCACACCTCCTGCCTAAAGCCTTCTCTCTGTGCTCAGTACAACCCTGAGCCCTCGAGGAGAGGCTTCAACCTGGTCTAGGGACCACCCAAAACCCACTGGAGTGAGAAACAGCCCCGTCCCCTCCTTCCCTTTGGCAAATCCCAAACCTGCCACACTCCAGCCCAAACTCCCACCCAGCTGGGGCAGCTGTGGGGACAGACAGGTGCTGCTGGCTCTGTCCCTGCCCCTCCCAAATACCTCCCTGTCCCCTAACACTGTGGGCTTTGCCAGCATTGGAAGGACTCTGGGATGGATCCTGCCCAGCTCCTCTCCAGGGATCCCACAGCAAAAGGGGCTCTCTCTGGGCTGTAGGCAGGGACACTTGGGCAGCTCCTGCCCCATGTGCCACCAAGCTGGCCGTGGCAGGCACAGGATACTGAAGATGATGCCCCCGAAGCAGGCGGAGAAGGCCATGCGGGGATAGCCCTGGCGCGCCATGGTGAGGTCGGAGAAGGTGTCTGGAAGGACAAAAGGAGACCTTGAGGATGGCAGGGGGACCCCAGGGTGTGCCAGGGGCCACTGGGGAGCAGCAGAGCCCTCACCACCGATGCTGTTGCCCCAGGCCAGCAGTGTCAGGCCCAGCACGGTGTTGCTGAGCTGGAAGATGATGCCCAGGGTCCGCAGGATGTTCACCAGCTCCGTGGCTGCAGCGTTGATCCACATGGCACTGGCCAAAAACCCAAGGAAGGCAAACACCTGACAGGAAGAAGAGCAAGCTGGTCCCTGTGTGCATTCCACAGGATCCCACACCTCCTGGCATCCCTCCTGGGGACACTGGGAACTGGTAGAGAGGTCCAGCTTCCTGCTCTGCCCCAGGAGCCTCAGCCCCGTCTGGAGCAGGCTGTGCTGGTCCCTGCTGGGTGCCCAGGGCTGGGGGACACCTTACACAGTGATACTTGGGTGGCTCCTCGTTGCTTGTGGTGATGAAGATGATGAGGGCCAGGGCAGAGGCAACCAGTGTGACCAGTCCCCAGACTGGGAAGATGCCCTGGATCTGGTACAGCCCATCTGCACATGGTGGGGAGAGGAGGCATCAGAGAGGCTGGGACAGGATCCCACCAGGCTTGAGGTAGGAGGTAAAGCCTTGTCAGCTAAAGCCACCTCTACCCTCCATCCTCACAGAGCTGCTCCCCTCTGTGCCTCAGTTTCCCCAGGCAGGCCAGGTCTGCTCCATTTCCCCCTCAGGACCTGGATGCTGGGAACCCCAACGCCCACCCTTGTGAGGGTGTATCCAGCTGCAAACACAGCTTGGCTCTTCCTGCCCACCCCACCTCCCTCCTCCCCGCAATGGGGAGCCAGCTCTGACAGGCTCCTGCAGCCCCCAGGGCTTTGGTGGCCATCTCAGTCCTGTCCCCTTCTGGAAGCTGGGACTGCCCCAGGCTCTTACAGGTGCCTGACTTGAGGGTGAGGACACAGAGCAGGGGGCTGGTGACGATGTGCAGGCAGTTGAGGGGTCTCCTCCAGTTCAGGTCATCCTTGTCAGGGTCCACAACGGGAACGGTGAGCAGCAGCACCAGCTCCACAGGCACCTGGCACAGGGGACACCTGTGTGGGACACCCTGTGACCTGCTCCCAACCCCACTGCCCCTGTCCCACCAGCCCCACTGCAAAGCCCCAGGGGACAGAGGGATGGGGATGTCCCTTGGGGGGCTCCTCCTGGTTCCTGTCCCCGCTGCTCACCTTGAAGGCCTTGAAGAGCCGCCAGTACCAGGGCTTCCTCCTCCACTTGCGGTAGTCCAGGGGGCTCAGGGCCGTGGTGAGGATGCGCAGGGAGGTCTCCTGGGAGGGCAGCAGGGGCCGGTACTCCTCCCCTGTGAGGGGCCACGGCACTGAGCGGGATGGGGGCTCCCTATCCTCCCCAGCCCTTCCAGCATGGGGCTGCAGTTCCCTGTGTGTCCCCAGGGAGCTCCCCCTGCCCCATGGGCTCAGTCACACCTGCAGCAGCCTGGGGGTCTCTGGGACCCCTGAGGACGGAGCAGAGCCAGCCCTGAGCCCACGAGGAACAACGTACCGTAGTCCCCACTGTTTGTGCCCGAGGGATCCGGCTCTTCCACATCTGTCGGCATCTCTGCAGGGAAGAGGAGTGGGCAGGGGCAGTGGAAGGGGACCCCAACACCTCAGGGGTCCCCTCCCAGCTGAGCAACCCTTACCTGGCTCCCAGGGTCCGGGAGGGGCCAGCCCATCCCCCCGCTGCCGCCGGTGGATCCAGGTGCAGAGCACCACGGTGAGCACATAGAACACGTAGAGCCCCAGGTAACCTGAGATGGGGGAGGGATGGGGGGGTCACAGCACCCCCGGCCTGTCCCCATCACCCCCAGACTGCCCCCCACCATCCCCAACTCCCCCTGTGCTCACCCAGAGCCTCTCCCAGCCTGATCCTGCCCAAGTAGAGGACCACGAAGGTGAGGAAGACGGCCGCCATGTAGAAGATGACATCCCTGAGGAAGGGCCTGGAGGCAGCCGTGAAGGGCTTGACCAGGGCAATGCCCCCGGCCACCACCGTGGTCACAAACACACCGGCACCTGCCAACACAGAGGGACTCTCTTGGGACATGGGGACATCCCACAGCTCCAAAACATCACCCGTGAGGACATGGCAGCGGGGTGCCCTTACCAAAGATGGCCCCGATGGCCAGCCCCGCTGTCCGAGGGTCAGAGAAGGCCACCACAGCACTGAAGACATCAGGTGCCCCATTCCCAAAGGCCAGGAAGGTGACACCATGGAGAGGGGACGTCAAGGAAAAGACCTGGTGTCCTCCTCCCCGTGGGGACATGGGTGCTGTGTATGCCAGCACATAACCACTTGTTCTGTTGTCACTTCCAGCTCATCCTCAGAACTGGTTTCCCCTGGCATGGTGCCAAGGAAACACAAAGTGACGCTGTCACAGCCACCTCCCCTGCCCTGTCCCCACATCCCTCCTGGCTGAGGCCCCTGTGATTTGCCAAGGATACTGCCACATTGTGGGACAGCTTCAGGTTGGTGGAGATGGCTGATAAATTGGGGCAGAAGCTGGAAGGGCAGAAAAGGAGACAGAGAGAGGTGATGGGACTACTTGGAGACCACGGGGCTCCTGGTCACTCTGGGGACAGTCCCCTCCTCTGCAGGGCCACTCACAACTTCTCTGCTGTCACACCAAGGATGATGAACAGGTACAGGAGCCACAGAGCCTGTGGGGTCAGGGGTGGCACAGAGAGGGGTCAGTGGGGTTCCCACCACACAGCCCCACAGCAGAGCATCCCCAGCACAGCCCTTTCCCGTCCTTACATAGAGGGTGACAGCCAGGGGCAGCAGCCGGGGCGGGAAGACACAGAAGACCCCATCGAGGTAGTTGAGGAAGCCCCCGTCCAGCTGGCAGTCGGGGTTGCTCCGGATGAAGTGGCACCACTCGGAGCTGTTGTGCTCCCGAACCTCCCAGCACTGCGGGGCAGAGGGGAGGGCACTTGGCTGGGCACCCCTGAACAACCACTGTCCCCCCAGGGACTGCCATGGGGCACCCTGAGGGGACACTGCCCTCACAAGTGCTGCCGTGGGGCTGTTTTTGGCAGGTCACTGTCACCCCTGCCTAGGTTTCCCCAGCTGTGCTCCATGTGCGTGGGCCGAGGGCTGTGCCAGGCTCAGCAGAGCGGGACACCCTTGTCCCCAGCCCATCCTTGTCCCCACGCAGCCCACACCCACCGCGGGCCATGGGAAGGCGCCGGCCTGGCAGGCAGCGAGCTTTGCAGAGGAGAAAGCCAGCAGCGGAGGAAATCCTGAGAGATCCCCGCTGCGATGGCGGGGACAGGGCAGCAGGGACGGGACGGGACGGGACGGGATCCCAGCACCCAAATCCCTTCCGGCGACCCCCCACAAATCCCACCGCAGCCCCGGGACGGGACGGGACGGGATCCCAGCACCCAAATCCCTTCCGGCGACCCCCCACAAATCCCACCGCAGCCCCCAGACTTACATCCAGGCCCCTTCCGTGGCTCAGAGCATCCTCCCCGGGAGGGAGCGTGTGCCCCACGTCCAGCAGCAGCGGGGTCCCGGCTGGCAGTGCTCCGGCCAGGCTGAGCAGCCCGGCCAGCCCCGTGGTCCCCTGCCCCATGGTGGCCTGTCCCTGGAGGGGACAGCCCCGGGGGACACCTACCACGGGCAGCGATCCCCGGGGACAGAGAACGGGCGCTGCCCCCGGACCCCCATCCCGCGCTGCCCGGGCGGGGCGAGGAGGGGTTAAAAATTAATAATAAAATTGGAAAATATAATTAATGCTAAAAATAGTAAAAAGGGTAAAAAGCAGAGCTCCCCGCGGGCAGGCTGAGCCCCCCTGTCGTCCCCGAGCGGAGAGAGGGGAAAGACACCCACACCCCAGAGAAAGACCAGGGGACCCGAGAGCAGAGAGGGGACAGCGAGGCGGCGGTGCGGGTGGGGACGGGGATCCCGGGCGGGGATGCGGGGGTGGATGGGGGTACCCGGGACCCGCGGCCCCACCGTGTCGGCGGCGGCCCCGCTGCCGTGCGCGGGCAGCTGAGCCCTGCCGGCCCCCCCGCCTTAAAGGGGCCGCCACCCTCCGCCCTTAAAGCGACAGCGACACTTTCCACGCGGATGGCCGGTGGCCGCCGACACGGGACACACGGGGCTCGCTGCTCCGTCCCGTCACTCTCAGCAGCACCCTACCTGCTGTGCCCACCGGCAGCCTCCCCTTTGGGGTGACCCTCTGAGAACGGGCGAGCTCAGCGCAGCCGTGGCCCGGGATGGTGTCCCGTGTCCCGGGATGGGACAGCCTCGGCACCGGGGCCGGGCACGAGGGGCTGGGGTCCCACACCCCACACCGGGGCTGTACAGACCCCATGTCGGCGATCCCACGCCGGGGCAGAGTCTGCTGCCGGTGCCCCTCTCCGCACCGGTGTCCCCAGCCCCAGGACACCCCGGCTTCAGCCGCGACCGGTGCAAGCGCCATGTCCTGTTCGTGGGGTGCAGGTTGGCCCCCATAGCCGGAGCCCCAGGATCCTAATGGGAATCAAAGACCCGTTTTCCACCCCGGCCAGTTTCTCCCCGAAGTTGGAGCAGGTGCAAGAGAGATGTGGAAGGAACCGCACAGGGCCGGAGCTGCCGCGGGTCTGGGGCCCAAGGGAAGCACCAGCACCCTGCGTGTCCCCCCTGCCCCGAACACAGGGACCCGGCTGCTCACGCGGGGGCTCCACGCGTGTCCCCCGAAGGCGGGCACGGCTGGGACCTACGCACATCTCCTGTGGGCGTGCGCTGGGAGAAGCGAGATGCGAGCGTGGATATAAGCGGAGGTCGTGGGGTACCATGGGGGGACAGAGGGTGTTGTGGGGGGGTCTAAGGGGTCCCCAAGGCCTCAGGGTGGGTGGGGGCGTGGCGGCTCCATAAACCCCAGAACCCGCCCCATGAGAAGCATAAATATCGGGCTGCCCTGCAAGGGGCGTGGCCAATCCACGCCCCGCCCCCAAACAGGGCCTAGTCCATTGATGCACGGCACGCCCGCTGGGGGCGTGGCCACAGTGTCGCTCCACCCCCAATCCCACCCCGCCCCATTAATGCAACAGGGCATGGTGGGGGCGTGGTCACACAGAAGCCCCGCCCCAGTCCCGCCATTCGCACGCGCCGGTGCCGCCGGTGCCACCGCCCACTCCCGGCCCCGCCCCTCAGTGTCCCGCCATGGCGGCCCCGCGGGCGCTGCTGCTGTCCCCGCTCCTCTCCCTGCTCCTCTCCCCGCTCCTCTCCCCGCTCCTCTCCCTGCTCCTCTCCGCCGTCCCGGCCGGAGCAGCCCCGTCCCCGGTGCCCCGCAATGTCTCCGTGCTGCTGGAGCCCGGCTCCGAGCGCCTGCGCGTCCTCCCCGGCCGCCACCCCGCCGCCGTAGCGTGGGCCAGCCTCGATGACCGCATCCCGCACGTCGGGTATGGCCCGGGCGGGACGGGTCGGGACGGGGCCACATAGAGCCGAGCGGGGATGGGGTGGCCGCAGGGAACCCATCGTCGGTGGGGTGCCTCGTCCCACCCGTGCCCGTGACCCGCCGTGCCCGTGTCCCCACAGCTGGGCCTTCCTGGAGGTGGCCACCAACGCCTCGTACAATGACAGCCTGCAGGCCTACGCTGCTGGGCTCGCCGAGGCTGCCGTCACCGAGCAGGTAAGGGCGGACCCCTCCAGCAGTGAGTGCCATGGTGGCTCCCCCGGCTGTCCCCGCCGGTGACACCGCCCTGGGGCCCTGTTCCCCAGCTGATGTACATGCACTGGATGAACACCATGGTGGGCTACTGCGGCCCCTTCAAGTACGAGAGCGAGTACTGCCAGAAGCTGCGGAACTACCTGGAGGCCAACCTGGCCTGGATGGAGGAGCAGATGGCGAAAGGGCAAGACACGGAGTACTGGCACCAGGTGAGGATCAGGAACCCCGACCCAGGGGAACCCCTGTGGATCCTCCTGGGCCTTTAATCCAGAGGACAGTACAGGGCAGCGAGCTGTCCTGGCAGAGCTCCAGGTAGGATGGCAGGGATGTGGTCATCCTCGTTGCTGGGGTGAGTAGAGGTGACTCATGACTTTCTCCTGGCCAGAGCCTCGCATGCTGCAGTTAGAGTGTGCACAGGAGGTGGCTTTGTCACCCTTGGCCATGGGTGCTGAGTCATGACCTTGCTGACACTTCCCGCCCCCCCCCCATGCCTCTGCAGCGGCACTGAGACCCAACTGATCTGCTCTGTCCCCTGGGGGAATGAGGGAGCCTGTCCCCCAAAACCTCTCAGCCCCCCTCCTCACAGGAGCCGGGTGCCAGCTCTGTCCCCTGTCCCCAGGTGCGCCTGGCCCTGCTGCAGCTGAAGGGGCTGGAGGACAGCTACAACAGGCGTCTGGACTTCCCCAGGGGCAGGATCACCCTGGCACCCTTTGGCTTCCTGTGAGCTGCTACTCAGGGGTGTTGGAGGGTGGGGGTGGACAACCACCCAGGGTTTGGAGTGCTGTGGGGACAATTTCTGCATGTCCAGGAACAGCCAGTTCTACTCCCAGTCCACTTTGTCCACCTTTTCTGGGCACTTGTCTTTTGTTCCTGAGGCAGGACAGAGGCAAGGCAGGTTGTGCTCTTCCCCACCCCATGGGCTGGGTGGTGGGTTCCCCCCACAGTCCCTGTCTCAGTTTCCCCACTGCTCTGCTCCCCCTTTCGTCCCTGCTCATGCTACCAGGGTGCTCCCTGCACAAGTGCCTGTCCTGGGGTGCGGTGGAGATGGACAGACAGGCAGAGAGCTCTGAGCCAGCTCAGCTCCAGGGCTAGGGCATCCCTCACCTGGCATCTTATGCCTTGCTTCCCCCCAGGCTGCTGCAGTTGGGGGGTGACCTGGAGGACCTAGAGTCTGCCCTGAACCGCTCCTCCCCTCAGCGTGTCCTGGGCTCGGGCTCCTGCTCGGCTCTCGTGAAGCTGCTGCCAGGCCACCGAGACCTGCTGGTGGCCCACGACACCTGGACCTCCTACCAGGCCATGCTGCGCATCATCAAGAAGTACACGCTGCCCTTCCGCACCTCGGCCGGCGGTGCGTGGGCTGGGCTGGGGGGGCTGCGCCTCACACTCCCCTTCTGATGCCTCTGCCTCCCCCCTCCAGGCAAGTCTCAGATCCCTGGGAGCGTCCAGGTGTTCTCCTCCTACCCTGGCACCATTTTCTCCGTCGATGACTTCTACATCCTCAGCAGCGGGTTGGTGAGTGGGTCTGGTCCTCAGGGACCTCTTCCCGGCCCTGCCGCCCTCCTCACCACTCCCTGCCCTGCAGGTCGCACTGGAAACCACCATTGGGAACAACAACCCGGCCCTGTGGAAGTACCTGGACCCCCGGGGCAGTGTCCTGGAGTGGCTGAGGAACATCGTGGCCAACCGGCTGGCCCGCAGCGGGCCCGAGTGGGCCACGGTCTTCCGGCGCTTCAACAGCGGCACGTGAGTGGGGTGGGATGGGCCTGGGAATTGGTCCTGGAGGGGTGGGATAGATGGAGGGTGCCCAGGCTGCCAGAGGGATGCATTCCTGGCTCTCCATGCCAGGTACAACAACCAGTGGATGGTGGTGGACTACAATGCCTTCACACCGGGCAGAGCGAGCCCAGCGCCGGGCGTGCTGACAGTGCTGGAGCAGATCCCGTGAGTGGCTCCATTCCTCCCTGAGCCCTTGCTATCTCCTCTCCCATCCCTGTTAGTTTGGAAAAGCCCTAAGGGTGGTGCCTGCCCAGTCCGGTAGGTGGTCACAGGGCACTGGAAAGTGTGTGTGGCTAAAGGCTCTGAGGATGCTGGTACTGAGGTGATGGGTGCCCAGCACCTCTGGCTGAGGTGGGAACCCTGCAGTGGGGACCCCCAGTATGTGTTCCCCCCAGCCCAGCATGTCCCCCACTATCCCCAGTGTCATTTTCCCCCTCTTCTCTGACCAGTGCTCTTCCTCCCAGCACAGGGGCCTGGTGGTGGTGGCTGATCAGACAGAGCTGCTGTACCAGCAGGGCTACTGGGCCAGCTACAATGTGCCGTGAGTGCCACCCCTCCCTGTGGACTGCCCTGGGAAGAGGGGCAGCAGTGCTCACCTTGCACCCCCTTGGTGCCAACTTGCTGGGTTCCCCCACCCAGGTTCTTTGAGGAGATCTTCAATGCCAGTGGGAACCTGGAGCTGGTGAAGAAATACGGGGACTGGTTCACCTATGACAAGAACCCACGTGCCCAGATCTTCCGGCGGAACCAGACGCAGGTCCAGGACCTGGACTCCATGATCCGCCTGATGCGGTGTGTGCTGGGGACCCCCAGACCCCCTGGATGTTCCGCTCAGGAATTTTCTGTGATCCATGGGCTTTTTCTGTGGCTCTCTCCCTTGTGCAGGTCCAACAACTACCTGCAGGACCCCCTGTCGCGGTGCAGGGGCTGTGACCCCCCCCAGAACGCTGAGAACGCCATCTCAGCCCGCTCCGACCTCAACCCTTCCAACGGCACCTACCCCTTCCCTGCCCTGCGCCAGCGCTGCCACGGCGGCATCGACATGAAGGTGTGCGGGCCAGGCTGCCCTGGAGGGGCTGCCTTTGGGGGTGCACCCCCCCCCAGCAGCTCTCCTGGGCTGTGCAGCCCATTCCTGGTGCTGACCCGGTGCCCTGGTTTGTGTCCCCATCTGCAGGTCACCTCCTCGGGCATGGTGCCCACCTTCGGGCTGGTGGCGGTCAGCGGCCCCACCTGGGATGACGTGCCCCCCTTCCGCTGGAGCACATCCCCCTGCAGCTCCCTGCTCCACATGGGCCACCCCGACCTCTGGACCTTCCCCCCAGTCAAGGTCCACTGGGACTGAGCAGGCGCTGGTCCCATCTGTCCGTCCGTCCATCCGTGGGCGTCTGTCCTGTGGGGGATCCCTCTATGGGGGCAGCTGGGTGTGGGGGGTCTCAGCTCTGTAATGCACCCAACCCCCTGCTCTTTCTGCCTCTCAGGGTCCTGGCTGTGCTGCACAAGGGGCTGAGCCCAGTGTGGCCCCTCCCTGCCGTGGGGGTCTCCAATCCAAATCCCAGGACCTTTCCCTGGGTGCTGATGCCTGGTTTGGGGGAGCTCTTCCCGGAAAAGGGGCATCCTGGGAGGCTGGGGCTCGCCCTCGGCGCAGACAGGAGGGCAGTGAGCTGGTTTGGCTGTGGCAAATAAAGTGCTCTGTGCTGGTGGCTGTGCTTTGCTCTCTGCTGAGGTTCTCTGGTGGCTTCTGTTAGGGCTGGGCTTGTCCACGGGTCTTGCCCCCTCCCCATTAACAAGGTGATCTGCTTTGCTGGTGGGAGGTTTTGAAGCCAGTGTGGCTTTTGGGGTGCAGGCTGTGAAGGGTTCTCTGCTGCTGGAGTGGGGGAGCCCCACTGCTCACCCCCCAGGAGTGGGACGCCATCCTCATGCCTTTTGTCTTCCTTTCCTCTGGCACCTGTGTGCCCCGTCCCCAAAACCCGCGGTGCAAAATCCTCTTAGGCAGCTCCCTTGATCCGCTCTGCCTCGTTAGGAATAACGAGGTCATTACTGGGGGATTAATGAGCTGCGGCTCGGCAGCGCTTTGAAGGCGCCAGGTTCCCACCGGGGCTAGGGGCCCCTGGAGCTCCCCGGGGGCTGGGAGGGGTTGGGAGGGAGCAGAGCTGGGATGTTGGGGTGCTGGCACCCCAAAAGCTGGGGTGGGTGCCCTGGGGAAGGTGGGGTGTCCATACCCCACTGTGCTGGGACAGATTGCAGGTATGTCAGGGATGGCAGAGCCTGTGTCCCCTTGTGTCCCCATGGTGTGTGGGCTACTGTGGAAAAGGGGGGGCTGCTTTTGGGGTCCCTGTGCCTCAGTTTCCCCAGATAACCATCACTGGGTGAGGGAGCAGCAAGGAGGAGCAGGACATGCTGGAAATGCCGCAGTGCTGCTGATTCCCGTTTTTTGTTTCCTTAAAAGCGGAAAAACAAACAAAAAGTTGTTAAATATCCCAGCTGCTGCCACAGCGTCAGCCAAGGGAAGTGGCCAGGTGACAGCCTGGCATGCTTTCCTCATGGCAGGGATGGAGCCAAAAGGGAGCAGAAGAGGGATAGGGAGGTGGGTATGGGGTGGAAAGGGACCCTGGAGCACCCCAGGGCTGAGCTGAGATGTGGTGTCCTTCCCAAGGGGGTCTCCAGCCTCATCCCTGTGAGCTGGGGGAGGCTTCTTGCCCCTCTTTCCCAGCTCCTGCTACCATCCCACCCTCATAGAAGTGGCTGCAGTAGCTGCCTCCTGTAAGGTGATGGGGGTCACTCCAAAGGCCCCCAGAGGGGCTGGAGCTGTGTCCCCCCCGATGCCCCCATTCAAGAAATCCTCCTCATTCCCCTCCTTTCCGGCCCCTGTGTCCCAAAAGTAGCGTGGCTCCATACGCTGTGCTCTATGCTGGTCACTTGGGAGCCCAAGGATGGTATGGGAGGCAGGGATGTTTTGTTGGCACAAAAGAGCAGCTCCAGAGCTCTCCCCTGCCAGCAGTGGTGCTCTGGGGGGTTTTGCAGCTCAGTTGGCGTCAGGGGACCAAAATTCAGTATTCTGGTTTCGCTGCTGTCTGCCTGGCACTGGGGCAGAGCTGGGCACAGTGTGGGGTTCCCAGTGCACCCTGTTTGGTGTGTGTTGGTTCCTGTGCAGTGTCCCCCCCTCGGGACTCCCTGTGCCCTCTGCTTCCAGGCTGCTTCAGCTTGGCCAGAGCAGCAGAGGAACTTTCTGCGGCTGCGGGGCTGCAGGCCAGGGCTGGGCCTTCCTCCAGATCCCACCCTCCTCCTCCTCCTCCTCCTCTTTGCGTGCTGTGGACAGAAGCAGCCCCTCAGAGCAGAGGTAGGACCCATACCCTGGGGGTGTCACCAGGGCTGGGTGACAAGGAGGGGTCCCAGAGGAAAGGAGGGGGCTCTGTTTGCCTTGCCTGGGACCTGCTGGACCTTGGCTTTGGGCCAGCGTCTGGCTGGGTCACTTGGGACAGCCCTCTCCAAGGGATGATCTTTGTCCATGGTGCCTGGCATGGTCAGCTGGAGTGGGGGGAGCTCATCTCAGGGGTCTGCTCCAGCTGGAGGGGCTGAGATCCCCTGGGATGTGGAGCTTGGAGAGGATTCAAGAGCTGCCATGGGGTGGGGGCTTGGCAGGGTGAGCAGAGGGGTGTGATGGCTCATTTGGAGGCAATGAGAAGTGTCTTGGCTGGGGGTTTGGGGCTGGCTTGGCTACACCAGGGGTTCGGGGACAAAATCCTAAAACGTGCCGTTACATGTTTTTGGCCAGACCTGATAATACCCAGTGCAAACTCTTGAGGGCCCCCAAAATAATTTATGAGCTGCCTTTCCTCTTCTCACATCTCCTCTCCCGGGCATGTGAAAGCTGCCGGGATCTGGCTGGCAGGGCCACACGTGTTTGTCACCCGGCAGCGTGTCCGGCCATGGCTAGCCAGCCGCCTTCGGCTCCGGTCCAGCCCCGGGCTGTAAAACCCGCCCAGGGCTGAGCAAACAGCCCCGCCGGGGCAACGTCCGACCCCTGCCCCTTGCCCTGCTGCGTGACTGAGCACGGCGACCTGGGGACACCGGCACGGCCCCTCGGACGTCACCTCTGCCTCTTGTGTCCCGCAGGCTCGGCGGTGGCTGAGGACACGCAGCGAGCCCCACGGGACACCAGGTATTCCCATCCTTACAGGGTTACAGGACAGGGCGTGCCCGGGGCACCTGGGGACACCGCGGCTCTGGGGACCCGCAGGATGGAGGAGGGGGTGGCACAGCCTGTCCTGGGATATTCCAGGGAGAACCCATCGGTGCTGCTGCATCCTAGGGATGGGACACTGGGGACAGCCCTGTCCCTCCCTAGAGCCTCCCGTGCTCCGCACCGAGCCCAGAGTGGGCGCCGGGGCTGCGGGGGGGGACCCGTGGGGAGCAGCTGATGACTCCACAGCCTCTCCTTGCAGACATTCCATTGTCAGGCCATGGCAGCCCAGCCTGTCAGGGGCCAGAAGCCCTTCCACGTCGTTACGCCCGTCCTGGAGAGCCTGTCCCTCTCCAAGGCCGTGGGCACCAAGGTCTTCATGAAGCTGGAGAACACCCAGCCCTCGGGATCCTTCAAAATCCGGGGCATCGGGCACTTGTGCCAGGATGTGAGTGTGGGCGTGGTGTGTTCAGGGGGCTGCTCCTGCCCTGATGGGGGGCACTCTGGGGGGACACAGCCATCCCCTCCCCTCTTTCTGTCCTGCCTTTCAGGCTGCCAAGAAGGGTTGCCACCACTTCGTGTGCTCCTCAGGTAACTCCATCCCGAGCTGGGGGGACGCTCCTGAGGAATCTGGGGATGTGCAGGGGGTCGAGCCCTGCCCGAGCCCTCCCTTTCCCCAGGAGGAAACGCGGGTCTGGCAGCAGCGTACACAGCTCGGAAGCTGGGGCTGCCCATCACCGTGGTGGTGCCCAGCAGCAGCGGCCCCACCCCCGTGCGCAAACTGGAGGAACTGGGGGCCACAGTCGAGATCCATGGCAAGGTACCCCAAAACGTGGGGTCTGGGGTGTCCAGAGGGGGCTGAGCCTGACCTCAGCTGCTCCTTGGTGCTTGGCAAACCCCATCCCGAAATGTCTCCCTCCTGCATCCCCTGAACCCCAGCATCACAACAGGGTCACCCTGGGAACCCTCGCCCGTTCTGGTGGCCCCCAGCCCCGCAGTGACAAGGGACTCATCCCGGGGTTGTGAGGTCTCTGTGGAGCCCTGCTGAACCCTCCTTTGCCCCACCCAGGTGTGGGATGATGCCAACAGGAGAGCCCAGGAGCTGGCTAAGACAGAGGGATGGATCAACATCCACCCCTTCGACCACCCTTTGGTGTGGTGAGTGCTGCCAGGACTCAGCTCCTGCCCCGGCTCCCGGCTCCTGAGATCCCTGGGGAGCCCCCAGGCTGCATTCTCCTGCCCCCCACCCTGCAGGGAGGGTCACGCCAGCCTGGTCCGGGAGCTGAAGGACTCTCTGGAGGCCAAACCAGGCGCCATCGTGGTGGCAGTGGGTGGCGGGGGGCTGCTGGCCGGTGTGGTGGCCGGCTTGCACCAGGTGGGCTGGCAGGATGTCCCCGTCATCGCCGCCGAGACCCTGGGTGCCCACAGCTTCCACGAGGCGCTCAAAGCCGGCCGGCTCGTCACCCTGCCCGACATCACCAGGTGAGCAGCCACGCGTGCAGCGAGCTGGCAGGGCTCGCTGCGGTGTCCTCGCCTTGACCGCCTTGTCCCCTCCTGTCCCAGCGTGGCCACATGCCTGGGAGCCAAGACGGTGACGGCGCGGGCGCTGGAGTGTGCCCGGGAGTGCCAGGTGATCTCGCAGGTGGTGGAGGACACGGAGGCTGTGCGGGCTGTGGAGCAGTTCCTGGGTGAGCGGGGGTGACGGGGACACCTTGGCGGTCGCTGGGAACAGGGTGCTGGGCCAGCTCTCACTCTGAGGGTGGCCCCGATGTCCCCCGGCTCTGGTCCCCGCAGATGACGAGCGGATGCTGGTGGAGCCGGCGTGCGGGGCGCCCCTGGCCGTGCTGTACTCGGGGCGGCTGCAGCGGCTGCAGCAGGAGGGGCGGCTGCCGAGCCCGCTGGAGCCCGTGGTGCTCGTGGTGTGCGGAGGCAGCAACATCCACACGGCCCAGCTGCGGGCCCTGAAGAGCCAGCTGGGCATGGAGTGACACCGGGCATGTGACACAGCCCGCCTTGCACACTCTGCTTGTTTGCCTTCCGAAATAACCAAAATAAAGCCTCACGTAGCCTTTTCCAGCACAAAGCGCCCTTGCAGGGATGGGGAAACTGAGGCACGGGGGTGACGCTGCAGGTAGGGATGGAGCCAGGATGCGCTGCCTGTGCTGAGGGAGGGACTGGGGTGCGCACATCCCACTTTTCCCCTGGGACATCCCTACAACCCTTCCCCCTCCTCTTCCCTCCCCCTGCTCCTCCCCGGGCTGTTTGGGCTGCAGCTCCCCGCCTCCATTAGCAAACGCTCCCTCTCTGACTAATTACTTTGCTACTGTCTTTATGCGTTATTATTGTAATGATTATTAATTAATACAATCTTCTCCCGTTCCTGCCACATCGGCTGTGGCCAGACGAGAACAACGCTCTTGTTACGGTGATTTATCCACGGGGATCCCCGGCCGGGTTTAACACCTGCAGGCTCGGAGGTGCTCTAACATGTGGAGGGGATATACCCCACCCCAGACCCCCTAAGTTCCCTTTTTCCCTATTTTCCTTTTCTATTTCCCTATTTTCCCTTTTCCTATTCTCCCTTTCCCCCAGGCTTTCCTGCTCTCCCACATTTCCACTATGTAGTGCTGTGTTTGCTTTCAGCCCTTTGCTGTGGCGCCTCCTGGGGTTTTTTTTTTGTATCCTCCCAACATTTCTCCCCTCTCCTTCCTCCCATTCCGGGTGAATGCGGGGTTTTGCTCCTGCTGCTGCTCTCCAGCCCCACCTGGTTCCCCTGCTGAGCCCTGTGCGCTGCGATGTTGGGCAGGGAGAGGAGTGTTTTGCTGTCCCCAAACCTCTCTCATCCTCCTCCCTTTTGGAGCAGAAGGGCCAGCTCACCCACATCTCCCCACAAAGCCCTTTCCCGACCTGGCTGCCAACCCCCTGCCCTCAGCCCCTTGCCCGATACCTCCCACCGGCCAGGACACCTCCCCAGGTGCTTCGTGGAGGCCAAACCCCCATAAATCAAAACTCTGCCACTCCATCGTGAGCAATATCTTATGTAAAAAGGTGTTTCCAGGGAGCACCGAAGGCTGGAGAATCCTATTACGAGGCACACTATTAATTATAAAGAGTCAGCCCAACCTACTCCAGCTATTTTTTATCCCAGGTCCAAAACCTGATTACTTTCCACCTTCTGCAGACCTTCCCCTTCCGAAAAAAAAACCAAAACAGGCAAGAAGGTCAGGAAAAGAAAAAAGACAACGAATAGCGTTTGTGTTTGCCCAACAGATTTTAAAAAGGAATTTATTTCCGCAATTCTGCTCGGGGTCGGGTCAGGGGAGTCAGGAGCTCACGGTGGTGATTCCTCAGCACGGTCCCACAGAAGGGTCATTGCTGGTGGTGACATGGGAGTGACTGTGGGGTTTGGGGTGACTCCCCCAAGAGCCCCAACAGGGAGCTTTTCCCCTCCTTGTCTTCATGAGGGGGCACTTGGCCTTTGGGTGCCAGCCAGGGGCATTGGGTTTTTGGATGTCCCTGGCAGGACTGTGAGGTGCAGGGTGGCCGGGGACACCCCTGTGGGATGGCATGGCCCCAGCTGGTGGCCTGTGCTCACTCTGCAGCCGGAGACAGGCAGGAATCCTGAGTGCTGCTGCCTTCCCGGGACCTCTGGGGTGATGGGGACCCTGGGTTTGGCTCCTGCACCCAGCTCGGAGCTGCAGAGCTCCTCTGGGCCAGGGGATTATTCCTTGGGATCATCCCTGCTTTGCTGGCTGTTCCTGCTGAGTCCCATCCTCCTGCGAGCCTCCAGCCTGGGACGTGGCACCTTGGAGCATCATCCCAGTCCCTCCTGCAGCCTCTTCTGTCCAGGTCTCGGAGACGAGGTGTCCCAGCAGCCTAAAAACAGCCCTCAGCTCTATGCCTTTGCATTTTGAATTACTATAATAACAACAACAATAATAATAATAGCAATAGCAGCAACCAGTGTTCACCCAATGATTGACCATTTCATACTCCCCAAAATGATGCTGCGAGTGGGTTATTTACCAGCACATCGCCCTGTCCAAATAAAAAAATCCCCATTACCTGCTAACGCCGACAACCTGGAAGTGCTGGAGCCCAGGGGGCCAGCCAGCTGTGCTCCTGCCTCAGTTTCCCCATTTGTGAAAAGGGGAGGAGGTGTTTTTCTTGGGGGGCTGAGGGGACACCAGTGTCTGTGCTGGCCCCAGCTCCTGGCTCAGAGCTCCCTCGGGGCTCGGCATGGCTCGTTGGCCACCCCGTTATTAGTGCCAGTAATGGTACAGGAAGGATAAATTCCACCACTTGGCTGAACAGAGAAAATATGCAGAGAAGTGGCTGGCTTTCCATAAATCATCGGTGCTCCGTGCTACAACCGAGCCAGGACTTAAAATTCAGGTCAGGAGAGAGGGACTCTCGTAAGCCAGCAAGGGAAGGTAATTTATTCTGTTTATATCGTTTTACTGCAAGACAAGGAGCGGGGGAGATGGAGGGGGGGCAAAAAACTCTGCCATGATTTTGCATTTTAAATATTAGTTCAGAGCTGCAGCCTGCCTGGGACCTTTTATTTTTGTATCTCAAGGGATAGAAAGCAGGAGAGAGAAGGGGAGCGAGCTGGGGTGCTGGGGAGGAGACCCCCCCTTCCTACCACCAGTATGTCCAGGGAAAATGGGATTAAAGCTTCTGATGGCATTGCTGAACCCCCACTTGGGGTGTCCCTCCAAAGCTGCCCCTTGGGGCTGCTCTGCCAGCGGGGCTGCAAGTGCCCCTGGGCTGCTCTGGGAGGGTCTTGGGTGCCCCCCAGGAGAAAGAAATTGTGCATTGTGCTGTCTGCTGAGGGGGAAAGGGCTGGGCTGGGTAATGTGCCCCTTCCCAGTGCCAGAGAGCTGTGGGGCTGGGGGGAAATGGGGAGCGCTGGGGTACCGGGGGGGATGCAGCAGCATCACCTTGTGCAGGTGCACATCTCTCACCCAGGGGAGCGCTGGGAGCTGCTCGCCCAGACCCCACGCAGGGCTGGGGGACAGCCCTGCCAGCATTTCTCACGGGCTTGTGTTAAAACAAATTAAAATAAAATAAAATGAAAGGGACCAGGTGACCGAACAGTAGGTAACTAAAAGGTTTTTTATTCACATTGAACAACAAGAGCCATTCACACTAACAGCCTCCGCAAGAGGCAGCGGGGACAGGAAACCCACGACGCTTTCAGAAAACAACTTTTTTTCTTTCCTTTTCCATTCTCCTTCCTTTTATTCCCCCCCCTCTCTCTATGCTCTCACCCCCCTCCCCGGTGCCATCCCCTCCCTGCCTTCAAAATAGAAAAATTCGGAGCCTCCGATGACTAAAGTACAATAAATAATCAGTAAACACAAAAACATACTTTATTTGTTTCTCCTTTATACAAAATAAAGAAACTAGAAGCAAAAACTATAATACATCCTTAAATTGGCGGAGCCTCTGGGAATCGTTGGGGTGGGACTCGGCGTCGAGGCTCGGGTGAAATTTCTGCTGTTGTGTTTGGGTCGGTTTAGTTCTGGGGTTTATTGTTTGTTTGGTGTTTTATTTTGTTGTTGTTGTGTTTTTCCTGTTTCTGCCTCTTTCTGGCGTCTGCTCCACCACGTGGGAGCCCAATCCCAGCCGGTCACTGGGGCAGTCCCGGCCTGGCCCCCGCACAGCCCCCTCCTCCCCACCGCCAAAATCCGGCTCCGAACCCACCTTCTCCTCGGGGGTAAAACGGGAACAATAAAAACGAGGGCAGGGAGGGGCCGCGGGGGGGTTATTCCTGCTATTCCCCATCCCCCCCCGCCCCCATTCCTGTGGTAGGAGATTAATTAAAAAGGATGCTAATTAGCAGGGGCGAGCCCTGCCGCAGCCCCCCTCCCCCGGTGGCGCCGGGGCGGTGGGACCTGTGTCCAGGCGAGTTCAGCTTTGGTCCGAGAGGCGATGGTCCCGACGCCGGCGGGGTCTGCAGGGCTGGGCACCTTTCATTGCCCCCAAAAATCGTGGGGGGAAGGTGCCGGGAGGGGGGAGGTAGCGGGGCGGCCCCAGGATCCCGGGGCGTGCGGGGATGGGGAGGACGGGCGGATGCCGGGATGCGTTTTGGCATCGGGCTAGAGGGGGGGCTCGGTCCGGTCCGCCCTGCTGTGGGGCGAGGGGGGACACGCGTGGGCTGGGGGGGACCAGGGGGGTTCGTTTCCCCCTGCACACACACACACACGCGTGCCCAGGCCGGGCCTACCAGACCGCAGCCTCGCTGAGCTCCGGGTTGGGGTGCGACAGAGCGCCGCTGTAGCCGCTATTGCTGGACATGGAGAAGGGCGGGCTCGGCCCCCCGCTGAAAACCTCCCCCGGAATGGGGTGCAGAGAGCCGGTCATCCCCGGCTCGGGGCTGGGGGTGTCGGGGTGCGAGATCATATCCGTGTACCTTTGGTTTTCTGAGGAGTGGTGTCCGCTTAGGGGGGGCTCCAAGGGTCCCAGGGGTGTGGAGCCGGGTCCTGAGTTCTGAAGGTAGCTGGAGTCGGCCGGGGACTGGGCTTGGGAGGGCGGCCCGTGGGGGAAAAAGTCATAGTTGCCTCCCGGCCCGTAGTAGTCACCTTGGTAATCTGTGGGGAGGGGGGGGGGAAAAATGGATCTGGTCTCCTGAGGCTAAAAACCTCCCGAAATCTCGCTGAACCCCAAACCAGCCCTGTGCTGTCCCCTCCAAAACGCTCTGCTGGCTCCCAAAGGGGGCTCAAAGGGTGGGTGGGATTTGAGCCCGACCTGAGAGAAATGAGCCCGTCCTAAGAGCTGCACTGCCCATCACGCTCTCTTTGCCCAGCCTGGAGTGAGAGAGGGCGAGGAATCCGGGCTGGGAGAGGTGAGTGGGACGGGAAAATGGGCTCAGTTTAGTGCTTGATTAATGGGGGGAAAAAAAAAAACATGCATCTATTTTTATATATGTATCTATAAAGGAAATGGGGAAAAGATAGATATATAAAGAACAGGCAAAAAGAAATATCGAACGGGAAAAATATATATATTGGGAAAACATATATGTACATTGGGGGAATTATATATAATAGGAAAAAATATATTTTATATATATA